GTTTTATAGCCTTGTTGGTGCTATCTTCAATTGATTGTCGAGAAGTTGAAACCCTTACAACTTCTCATTTTCCTTCTGGGCAAGTTTAGAAGATGGTGCTTTGCCTATGAATGCATAAATTCCAGTTGATTATGCTCACCACTTCTTATCCTCCGGAATAATCACCAAGGCTTGGCAAGACATTCAGGTAAATGACCTAGACAACATGCAAACTCCCATCTTCCTTGTAGTCAAGCTTCAGGAAAGCCACACTTCATGTGTCCTTGTTAGCGTATTCCAGATGACACAGCATTTGTGCCATTTAAATCACGCTACTGAGAGTTGTCATACATCAGTGGTAATGGTAGTGACTGTGTTACACAGCTCTAGAGAGTTGAAGGCATAGGCATCAGGTCCATCAAGATAGACAGACACCTGTAGGTAAAGTTATATGGTAGCAGCATATTTGGAGCACGGCTTCTAAATTGCTCAGCATTTCATTAGTAGCTCACTCAGTGTCTTTCGAGTGACTGTCATAAGTAGATAACCCCCACCACTGAGAGATACAGCACATGATCTTATCACTGTCTTAACCTCTTGTCACTCTTATGCTTTGAAGTGCAGGGCTCTTTTATGAGGAATAAGAGACCTTTGATCCAAAACACGGAGACTCCTCTGTCAACTCACAGTGTCACTGCTGTTCACATCTCTCACTGTTACAGCATTGATGTAGCTTCGGTCTAGAGTAACGAAAATAATGAGCATTCACCCCTTCAGCATCAAACACATGTGAGAGGGTATTATTGCAGATCCACTGGAGGTTTTTAGGGGAGGGAAGATGATTCTTGTGTGACTAAGGCAGGCAGAAAACGAATGCTGCTTTCCATAAAGCTGTTTATGTACGCTGTCCAGAAATGTTACACTGTAAAGAAAGCCTGTGATTTTATAACTCTATAGCGTTGTGACATTTTTAGCCGAATTCTTCCCGCTTCCAGGAAGCTTTCTGCAAAAGCATGTGTTTCATTATCAGTTTATTATTACCTCTGATTTTGATAAACACTGAAGCATCCTAAGAGAACAGAAGGTATTTAGAGAAGCAGATATTTATCCTGATATTCTAGCCTTAGCCAAACAGTGCAACATCCCTTTGTATTTGACCCAGTTCTGCAGATATTTGGAGAGATGAATTGGAGATGACAAGGAGGCTGAATAGTGCATAGCAACCATCCCTTGCTGTCAGTGGTTGTTGGCAGCCTATCCACATATGCTTTGATTTCCCCCGAAAGAGACATTCACTTCTATGGGTATTATCCTTCAGTGGATATTCCTTGCAAACATAGGAAGCTGCCTTGCACCAAGTCAGATTATTGATTCATCAAGATCAATATTGCCTGAGCTCAGAATTGCAGTGATTGGCTCTCCAAGAACTTCCCAGCCTGCTCTGGAGTCGCCAGGGATTGAATCTGGGTCTGCATTGGTGGGACATGCTTTTCCTTCAGAATTAATAGCTGAAATATTTTAGTAGAGATGCTTAGGGCCTTGTAACAATAATGTTTTAATGTTGATTAGTAATAGCAGCAACTTAGCGTGTGTTTGAAAGTGCTGTGTATGTGTTCAATTGCAATTCTTGCAACTGTCCTGCATATTACAAATGGGTTGAATTCAAGCTGAGGCAGGTGTGCTTGCCTAAGGATACCTGGCCACTTAATGGTGGAGGTGGAATTCAAACTGTGGGATTCCTGATTTGCAGTTCCCTAGCCACTATGCTACACCAGCATACATATGTGTGTGTATAAATGTGCATGTATGCTTACAGGCACAACAGCTACTGAGCTGCCGTAGTACTGAAGAATAGGTCACACCATATAGCAGGCACAGGCAAACTCGGCCCTCCAGATGTTTTGGGACTACAACTCCCATCATCCCTAGCTAACAGGACCAGTGGTCAGGGATGATGGGAGTTGTAGTCCCAAAACATCCGGAGGGCCGAGTTTGCCTATGCCTGCCATATAGATCACACCTCCCTGGACCCATTGCCCAACCACATGCCTTGCATTGGACCAGCAAAACTGGCTAGAGTTGGGACCTAAGCGACAAATATTTGATCAGACTGTTAGAGGGCACAAACTGAAGAGCGGAAAAACTACCTCCAGAACTGATAGTCTCCTGCTGAAAAATGTCAAATTATCTAAGAACTATAAGATCTAATTATAGATTAGAGACATGAAAACTCTAGTCCAACTCTGCGTTCAGGCTGGATTTTCTTTTTTATGGCTGAACAGTCCTAACACATGAATAATAATGATATTTAACATTTCATAGTGCTTTCAAGTTTTTGAAGCACTTCACATGCATTAACTAGCTGCAGCTCTTACAGCCATGATGTAAGGTAAGTCAATATTTTCTCCCCACCCCATTTTGCAGTTGTGGGAGGGAGGCTTCCCCAAGGCCGCCATAGCTGAGATTATAGCTACTATGCTATTACACTAGCGCTCAAAGCCTAGATCATTTGATTAGGTTGCACAGAAAGCCAATAGCATGCCAGAGAGGCTAGCAATTCAGCATGTATAGTGCTTCCACCCTTACTTCTAATATTATGTGTCACCACATGTAAAAGAGAGAATGTGTTGTGTCTCCTTCCATCAGCACAAGGATTTCTGCTTGCACAATGAAACTTCACCCACTCTCTTCCCTGGGCATCCCATAAATCTTTTCTGGGTTTTCCCTTCCAAGACTCTGGAGAAGATTTGGGGAGGGCACAGGGGAGCAAGGGACAGTTCCACTGTGGAAGCAGAAAATCCTTATGCTAATCAGACAACTGCATTGGATACAGCCCAATAAAAACAAGATGAAGAAAAGTGCATCCAAAATTATGAGGGAGATGGTGTATCTTCCGTATGTAGAATACTTAAGAAATGGTTACAGGGTACATGAAACTTTTGCAGCATTCAAAGAATGATCCTGTACAATGATCCTACAGGGCAAAGGGACAAGCCACCACTATGCTGGTGAGATGGCTGCTATACAGCGGACTCACTCAGCCCTGGAGGGGGAAACACTACAGATAGGAAACTATCCAAAATAGTGGGAAACCAGTAAAATTTCAGGCATCCCATGAAACCGATTGGTTTGCAGGACAAAGACAAACAACTTCACATAGTATGTCATCCAACTGTGGAATTCATTGCCATAAGATGTTGTAATTTTATTTTTATAAAATGATATGTTGGTGTTGGATCAGTCTGACAGTGACTATTATAAACGATAACTGAAATAAAACCTGCATATATAGTGGATTTTTCATTGTTAAAATTGCTAGTTCGAACTAAATGTGTAGCTTGCTGGAGTCTTCCTGCCAGTGGTAAGTTTTTTCACCTGGCAAAATGATGTCTAGTGTACTTAAAAACTGTAACTGTAGAACAGGCAGAGGTTTGTTGTTGGAGGTTTTTCCGGACCTTTCAGAGACACTGCAGCAGCAGATTTCCTCTATTCACTTTGGGATCAGGCTAGGTGACCCTTAAAGTGATTTCCATTTCAGTGATTCGTATACTGAATTTTGAAACGATGAACACAAATTATCGTGGCGACAACTAGGTACAATTTTATAACGCAGCTATGTGTGAAAACGAGTGCCTCTTTCAATACTATTTATAAACAGATTGTTCTGTGGATGATCTCTCTAGTTTTTCCTTGAAATAGCTTTCTATTTCTCTGGGTTTTTCTTTTTTTTCTTTCTTTCTTTCTTTTTTTATAATGATATTTATTAAAGTTTCACAAAAATACACAAAACAAAGAAAAAAGTATAAAGTACAGCAAAAAAGTAGAAAATAAGAAAAAACATACAAAATAAAACAGTTAGAAACACAATAATGTTCCATAACCTATCTTCCTTACTCTTATTTCCCCGGACCTCCTCATACCTCCCTTCTTTGTATTCCAATTCAATTTGTTGGTTCAGCAAATCCTTACCATTAATCTTTTACCCAATTATTAACCTTTTTTTTTTCATGTCTCTTAAAGCATTACAGCTAAAAACCTCTTAGTTTCTATCCAACATCCTTCTAAAGTTCCTTAATTTTGCAATATTTCTGTAAATAGTCCTTAAATTTTTTCCAGTCTTCTTTCACCGACTCTTCTCCCTGGTCTCGGATTCTGCCAGTCATTTCCGCCAATTCCATGTAGTCAATCACCTTCATCTGCCATTCTTCCAAAGTGGGTAGATCTTGTGTCTTCCAATACTTTGCAATAAGTATTCTTGCTGCTGTTGTAGCATACATGAAAAAGGTTCTGTCCTTCTTTAGCACCAGTTGGCCGACAATGCCCAAGAGAAAGGCCTCTGGTTTCTTCAGAAAGGTATATTTAAATACCTTTTTCAGTTCATTATATATCATTTCCCAGAAAGCCTTAATCTTTGGGCACGTCCACCAAAGGTGAAAGAATGTACCTTCCGTTTCTTTACATTTCCAACATTTATTATCGGGCAAATGATAAATTTTTGCAAGCTTGACTGGGGTCATGTACCACCTGTATATCATTTTCATAATATTCTCTCTTAAGGCATTACATGCCATAAACTTCGTACCTGTGGTCCATAACTGTTCCCAGTCAGCGAACATAATATTATGTCCAACATCTTGTGCCCATTTAATCATAGCAGATTTCACCGTTTCATCCTGAGTATTCCATTTCAACAGCAAGTTATACATTCTTGACAAATTTTTAGTTTTGGGTTCTAACAATTCTGTTTCTAATTTTGACTTTTCCACTTGGAAGCCTATTTTCTTATCCAAATTATATGCCTCCATTATCTGATAGTAGTGGAGCCAATCTCTCACTTTATTTTTTAATTTTTCAAAACTCTGCAATCTCAATTTATCTCCTTCTTGCTCCAAAATTTCCCAATATGTCGGCCATTTGGCCTCCATATTGAGCCTTTTCAGAGCTTTTGCTTCCATTGGTGATAGCCACCTTGGGGTTTTATTTTCCAATAAGTCTTTATATCTTATCCGTTCTAACATGCCAGAGGCTGTTCACCTTGGAGACCTGCTGTGGATATGGGTACGGCCCGGCGCGAGATTTACACCCTCTCCCCCGGATTTTCAAGGGCCAGCGAGAGCTCACCGGACGCCGCCGGAACCGCGACGCTTTCCAAGGCTCGGGCCCCTCTCTCGGGGCGAACCCATTCCAGGGCGCCCTGCCCTTCACAAAGAAAAGAGAACTCTCCCCGGGGCTCCCGCCTCTATTTCTCTGGGTTTTTCTTTACTGTGCACTACTTCTATAAGTTACGGCAAGCGTTGTGAAGTAGGTTAGAGGAGTACTGCATTCCTCCCTCTCACGAAACAAGGGGAAATGGCTAGGACTTCTGTAGAAAGGTTATAGATTTTTTGACAATTTAAGCCATGGGTTCTCATAGGACAGGGGTGTCCAGATTCCAAGAGACTGCAATCTACTCCCACTAAAACAAAACTGGCAGTTGTTGAGCTTTTGGGGCGGGAGGAAGACCCAAGGTTGTTGAGCTTTTGGTTTTGGGGGGTCGATCACTAAGAATCATGCGATCGACTGGTAGATCGTGATCAGCTTGTTGGACATCCCTGTCGTAGGAGATTACCACAGGACCCTTCTTGGTAGTTCCACCGACCTCATGAGTCCCGGAGTGGCAGCCCGTGAGAAGGCATTCTCTGTGGCAGCCCCTAAGTTTTGGAATTTCATGGCCACAGAGGTGTGTCTACTACCTTCATTGCACAGGTTTCATCATATGCTGAAGATGTAACTCTTTGCTTTTGCCTTTGACACATGAGATAGAACAACAACAACAACAGCAACAATTTATTACTTATACCCCACCCATTGGACTGGTAGATAGATAGATAGATGACAGATAGATTAGATAGATAGATAGATAGATGATAGATAGATAGATGATAGAGATATAGATTGATAATGACAACAGGAGTGTGTGTGTGTGTGTGTGTGTGTGAGAGAGAGAGAGAGAGAGAGAGAGAATTTATATACAGTGGTACCTCGGGTTAAGTACTTAATTCGTTCCGGAGGTCCGTTCTTAACCTGAAACTGTTCTTAACCTGAAGCACCACCTTAGCTAATGGGGCCTCCTGCTACCGCCGCACCGCCAAAACACGATTTCTGTTCTCATCCTGAAGCAAAGTTCTTAACCCGAGGTACTATTTCTGCGTTAGCAGAGTCTGTAACCTGAAGCATCTGTAACCTGAAGCGTATGTAAACGGAGGTACCACTGTATATGGACCTATCCTGTTGTTCTGATTGCGATTTTAAAAAACTGATTTTAGTACTGTATTTTTATACTGTTGTAACTCACCCCGGGACCTTATGGAAAAAGGCAGCTGAGAAAACCATCTTCCCACATAGGACCAGGGAAATGAAGAGTGAAATGGAGCTGCCTTGATATCACTAGCAGTCCTTGAATCATTTCACAGGCTACGTGTTAATTCCATTCCTCTTTTAGTCAGTTTGCAGGGGGAGTGCAAAGAATGGGGTATAGACTCTCCTGAAGTGCTCTTTTTATTTTTATTGTTTTAAACAGCTAGTGTGTGATTCATGCCATGAGGATACCTGTCACTTTCATCCTGTTATCTCACTGTGCAAAGTCAACAAATGATTGATTCTTTCATAGGGATATGCAGATTTAATGAAAGTAAAGGCAGTTAATTAAAATTACGTACAGGTTGGTTATACCCAAATTGCAGTTTAAACTTTTGTCAGGCTTATCCCTTCTCTGAGCATCGTTGATCATTGTAAAACTGAATTACTGTTTAGTCCTATCATTTAATTTAATGCCAAAATTAATTCTGTGATTAAGAATGTGTGATTGAGAATACTCCACAGAACAAGAACTGAGAAATTCCCTGTTGTCTGTTGTGTGTCATAGTCAATATTATAGTAATTAATGCACCCTGGCACCATGTGGCAGATTATTTGGGTCAGAAAATTTTGGTCTGTGTTCAAAACAGCTTACTCCTGTTCAGATTAGTACTGGGGTGCATGCTTAAAACTGCCTTACTTGAATTAGAAAAGATTTAGGGAAATGCCTAAGTACATTCTGAATCTAATCCTCTATGTCTGAATGGAGCAGAGAAAACTGCTGACACCATAAATAAACAGGGCATGCCATTGCAAATATATATATATATTAAAAATGTATTTATCATGGCAGATTTATGATAATTTGAAGTTTGATTGCTTAAATTATGGAAAGAAAAATAGTAGAAGGCACTTTACGCATACGGTTGTTTTGATAGGTGAGGAAATTATTGATGTAAAGATGGTGATAAATAACTTTCCTGCTGGCTGCTCTAAGAGTCTTATCCAGTTCACAGGACCTACCCCATGTAATCTGGCTTCACTCTAGGGACCTTGCCAAAGCAAAACCTTTTTTAGCCTACCTCTCCTGCCCTGGGCTACATACAGTAATGGAACTGCAATAGCTTTTGCTCTGCCTGGTCTATTTATCTGCAGCTCCATCTGCTCCCATTTGGCTTCCTACTGTCCTACTTATTGGAGGAAAATGCTAAAATACAGAACCGGATTCAATGGCGTACAGGAAGAGTGAGCAAATATTAATGGGAAAGGGGTTTCTGTGCTAGAGTGGGTAAAATGTTCATGAATATTCTAGCTGCTGTGGGGAAAGCTCAGATACAGAGCTTCTCCCTAAATGCATGTTCTCTACTTGGTTACCACAGCTTCAAATTTTGACTTGCTAGTATATAGCAATCAGCATAGAAACACTGCATTTGCATCACTGAGCTTCGCTTCAGATACAGTGGTTTTCAATTGTGCAAACTCCCATCTTCACCTGTGACTTCATCAGTGAAGGATGAAACATGGAGTTGTCTTTTATGCATGTGAGCCCTAGTGCAGATGTCCGCACTAGCAGAAGCTAGCTGGAACTGGAGGAAAAGCCTCAGACGTGGCAATGCTGAAGGTCTCTATTTAATGCTATTCATCACTCAGATAAGGTCATGATCCCATTATAGCAGTGACTTGGTCAGTGACTGATAAAGATCTGAGCCATGGAGGCCCCCCTCACCCCGCTCTAGGCCAGAAGTCTGAAGTACCATTCTCTGACCACCCCTGTTTCCTAATTCCAGTTATTACAACCTTTAACAGGATACATAGTCTCTTCCCAATTGCCCCCATTCCTTGCTATTCTCTCCAGATCACAGATGAACCACAATCCTCTTACACTGGACCATACTACTTATTTTATGCATGCAAGTCTCCCTCACCCAGCAATTTCAGAATTTTATATTGAATAATACCAAGGCATTTATGAGCCCATCTTTAGACACTGTCATTTCCAACAAAACTGGTGTGTCCATGGGCAATAATTTTCATGGGGCTGTAACTGATGCAACGTCATTCATTTCTTACATGCTTGACCTCATTATTTCCCCCACATGATCTCAAAGATGCCTCAGTCATTGCGGTTGCAAGGAAAGTGTGAAAAGTTGTATCAAATAGGTCAAACACTTTATTGGCTCAACCTTTATAGATAGGTCACATTTATTTAACTTATAACTCATGACAAGCAAACAAGAAACATATAAAGCAAGGTGACAATGCAATATAAAACAAGGAGTAACAAGGACATCAATTTACATGATGGCTATAGCAAGGAAACTTGGTTGACATTTTATAGCAACCTAGAAGAATATTGCTACTTTCTTAGTAATCTTCTATTTGCTATTGTTAGAAAACAGATTATCAAGTTTTTATGGATGTGGCCAATGGATTTGACCCTCCAGTAATTGGGCAAGAAACTTAACATTGCTTCTTCAGGGATAGCCCAGTGAGATATATAAATGTTGTAAATTTTTAACAACATGGGCTCCACAAGTAGATAGAAAAGTTGTTATGAAAGCATCCATCTAAAACAGAGGATGGTGTCAGTAGTGACCTCAAAGTGTAAAAACCTTTCCTTGGGAGAAATTTGCAAAGGTCAGGAAGATAGGATTCATTCACGATTCAGTTTTAATCTAGCATCCTACTGTGCCGCAAGATTGGCTACTAATGTCAAATCACAGAGTGCAATTAATCACACAGCTTAGATTTAAATTCCTGTTGTGCTCTATTGGCTCTAGTGCCTTGAAAATATTGCAGGAAAAATTATACTCGTATATCACATGATCAACTTTATCAGTCCGAGTCTATTTAGTCACATAAAAATGTTCTAGAAAACAATCGTTCTGATATTGGGCAATGTATCATCATCTTCTAAAAACTGAGATTTATGCAGCAATATAATACCCATCTTCCTGGGAGAAAGAACCATTGAATGCAGTGGTCTTTACTTCTGAGCACACATAAGATTATGCTGCTGAGTCAGAACTTAAATAGGTTCTGGTGCACTTTTCTTTTAACAGGTAAAGTAGTTTTCTGAGGCAGAATAGAAAGATAGCTAATGAACTAGAAAGTGGGAGTGTTGCCCTATTATTGAGAATTATTAGTGGTTTTTTGAAAGCATGGTATTCTGAAAAAAAGGAAGCTAAGTCTAAGCTTATTACACCTAACTTGCTTTGTTTAAAATATCAGGGATTGCTGATGACCCTGGGACATGGGTGGTGCTGTGGGTTAAACCACAGAGCCTAGGACTTGCCGATCAGAATCCCAGCGATAGGGTGAGCTCCCATTGCTCGGTCCCTGCTCCTGCCAACCTAGCAGTTCGAAAGCACGTCAAAGTGCAAGTAGATAAATAGGTACTGCTCTGGCGGGAAGGTAAACGGTGTTTCTGTGCGCTGCTCTGGTTCGCCAGAAGCAGCTTAGTCATGCTGGCCACATGACTTGGAAGCTGTACACCGGCTCCCTCGGCCAGTAAAGTGAGATGAACGCCGCAACCCCAGAGTCAGCCACGACTGGACCTAATGGTCAGGGGTACCTTTACCATAACCTATGACCCATGGCCAATTGGTTGCTCCCAAACAACTTCTGGTGCCCCCCCCCCAGCACCCTTCCAACAATTTTATGGTGCTTGTCAGCGTGGAAAGGTTTCAACCTCTTCACTGGTCTTATAAGCATGTGGTTGGGTTATGTCACCTCTTTTCAGCTTTGCAAAAGATCTTTCCCCTCTGACATGCCGTTATTATTAGAAGAGCTTTGAGGGTTTCCTAAGTTTCTCTGCTCTTCTAAGAATAGAGTTGCACCAGAGGAAGAATGGGCCTTTTGTAAGGGCAAAAAAGCAGCTCTGATTTTCCTCCTCAGGACTGGAGCTGGAGGAGACCCTCCTACACCACTGCTTCCCCTGGGATCAAAAACATGGCTGAGTTGAGTATGTAGGTGTGTGCAGGTTGTTTGACTCCCTTCTCTCTGTGTATGCGTGCTATATGAGTATGGCTGTGTGCCAGTGTGTGCACCTACTGGCATGGGTCCCTCAGTGTGGTCCTTGGGCCGTGTACATGGAAGATATACTAGGAGATATTTC